CGGGAATCCCTGAACGCGGGGATGGGGGGACATTGGAGGGGGAGGGGGGGATAAAATGGCCCTGAGGGGACAGGAATGTGACCCTGGGGGGGACCCAAACGTGACCCTGGGGGGGACAGAAATGTGACCCTGGGAGGGACAGAAATGTGACCCCTGGGGGGGGGTTAATGGGGGGGGACCCAAATTTGACCCTGGGGGGTCCCAAAATGTGTCCCCTGGGGGTGTGTGTGTGATAGGGGGGGGCAAATTTGTCCCTGAGGGGTCCCCAAATGTGTCCCTGAGGGGTTGTGTCTCTATCTATTTAATTATAAAGACTGTAATTCTTTGTAATTGATACTATGTATATATATATATTCTGTATATGTTAAATATGTATTTAACTGTAGAGAATTAAATCGAATCGAATCTCCCAACTAGGAATCCTTTATTTTTGAGTTTTCCAGAGGATTCTTAATAATTCTTAACGCTTTATAGTCAAATATAGATTTAATATATACGGATATATATATATATATATTATCAGTTATAAAGAATTATAGTCCTTATAACTAAACATGTATATTATTAATTATAAAGAATTAAATTGCATTAAAATTCCTATTAAATAATCCTTAAAAATTCCTTATTAGGGATTTAAATTTATTTTATTATTTTAAAATATATATATAAGAATTTTATATATATATATATTATATATTATATAATATATATATATATATCTCTTCTCCCATGCCCTGCTCTCCCCCCCAGACCCAAGGGAAGGATCCGAGTTCCCAGGAGAGCGGGATCATCCTCTCCCGTCCCCGAGGGAAGGATCCCAGGTGTTCCCGATATCCCAGGGGAGCGGGATCCCCCTCTCCCATTCCCTGCTCCCCCTCCAGTCCCGAGGGAACAATTCCAGGTGTTCCTGATATCCCAGGGGACCAGGATCCCCCTCTCCTATCCCTGTTCCCCGAGGGAATAATTCCAGGTGTTCCCAGCAGACCGGGATCATCCTCTCCCATCCCTGCTCCCCCTCCATCCCTGAGAGAATATTCCAGGTGTCCCCGATATCCCAGTGGACCGGGATCATCCTCTCCCAGCCCCGAGGGAAGGATCCCAGGTGTTCCCAGGATCCCAGCGGATCGGGATTCTCCTCTCCCAGCCCCGAGGGAACAATCCCAGGTGTTCCCAGGATTCCAGGGAACCGGGATCATCCTCTCCCAGCCCCGAGGGAACAATCCCAGGTGTTCCCGATATCCCAGGGGACCGGGATCATCCTCTCCCATCCCCGACGGAACAATCCCAGGTGTTCCCGATGTCCCAGTGGACCGGAATCATCCTCTCCCATCCCCGAGGGAAGGATCCCAGGTGTTCCCGATATCCCAGCGGACCGGGATCATCCTCTCCCAGCCCCGACGGAACGATCCCAGGTGTTCCCGATATCCCAGGGGACCGGGATTCCCCTCCCCATCCCTGTTCCCTCCCAGCCCCCAGGGAACAATCCCGGGTGTTCCCAAGTTCCCAGCAGACCGGGATCCTCCCCTCCCATTCCCTGCTGCCCCTCCACCCCCCAGGGAAGGATCCCAGGTGTTCCCGGGATCCCAGGGGACCGGGATCCCTCTCTCCTGTCCCCTAGGGAAGGAACCCAGGATCCCAGGGGATCGGATCCCCGTCTCCCTTGGCCTCTCCCTCAGGGAAGGATCGGAGGCGGTGCCGAGCTGTGTCCCATCCTTTATTTCTCCCGGCGCTCCGAGATCCCGGGAATCCTTCCCGGGGTGGCTGCCCGTTCCCCGGGGACCAGGAGGGAATTCCCGCCCTGCAGACGGGGATCATTTCCATGGATAAGCCGATTTGGGGTTGGGATGAACGCCCTATTTGGGATCGGGCAGCGCGGGAGATCCCCTGGATCGCTCCTCTCAAAATTCCCAAAATCCCGAGGCCCCCCCGGGGCTCAGGGAGAGGGTCAGGGCAGCGCGGGGGGTCCCCCCTTGTGTTTTTGTGTCCCCTCCCTTGGGGCTTTGGGGGAAAAAACCACGTTTTAGGGTGGAAAAGGAGGGAAGTTTTGCTCCCTCGTGCCCTGCTGGGGGTGGGTTTGCTCCCCCCGGGATGCGCCGGGGGAATCCCGGGATCATCCCGGTGCTGGGGAGAGAGGGGGGGGTCGTGGAGGGAGGGAGGGGCGTGGAGGAGAAGGGTGCAGAAGTGTTAGAATGTCCCACGTTGTCCCCAAAATACCTCCCTGGGGGGAAAAATCCCGTCCCCAGGGGCTTGGGGAGGGTGAAAATGAGGATCCCGGGGGATGACATCCCAGATTGTCCCCCAAAATTCCTCCCTGAGGGGAAC